TCAATCAGCGTGTCCTAACAAAAATTCCCTCTCATGGACGTCCGAGACGCGACGTCGGAGAGTGAGTCGTCGAGTAGTCGTAGGACCACCACAAGGAGAACCAAGGAGCAACCAGTTCAATCTACAAGTCCCAATCATATTGGGTGGTCCTTCGAATCATTATCCAGACGACACAATATCGTGCAAACACTACAAGGCTCGAAAGTTCATCGCCACAACCACGGGCATTAACACACATATCAAAGAACCCAAACTCACGCCTAACTATTAGATCGTCCAATAAGTTCCATTCAGATAAATTTGTCAAACACACCTAAATGCTGTGAAAGAACGTAGTAACCTTCCCGTTCCAAAACTTCTTTCCATCTTCTTGGTAAAGCCATTATGCCGTCACTATAAAATTTCATCGGTTCTTCGTGAAAATATTTTTCAGTGTTACTCCTTGAGTTTTTTCTACCCACTAAAAAATGTCGCAATGCACGAAACATATGGTTATCTGATGGGGCAAGGTGTGATAAAATTTCCCAACTGAATTCACGTAATTTGTTTTTTAGCACGAAAGTCACTTTGTTCCGATTTAAGTGTCCTGGGATATTTCACTTCTCGTAATGTAACTCGAAATACAAAACACGCCGTGAAGAGTATAAACGCATCGCAGTACGAACTTAGACGACCTAATGTAATCTTAGGATACATGCCCATCTGAGTGTTTTGTCACGATAGTTGCTCTCGAGAGTACTCTCAATTTGTGTGCACAGCTCTCTACCAGAACTCTCAGTACCGTATAAATTAATAAATTTGACTCTTGAGAGCAAGTCACGGTAGTTTTACGCTCAGATGGACAGGTACCCTTAACACGTTCAGGACGACACACAGTGTTTCGGGACAAAACTCATAACTTCTAAGCTAATCAATTTTCGACCTAAGCCCTCTAATACTTTTTTGAAGAGAATTCTCATATGCATTGATTGGCACATAAAAAAAATATGTTTTCATTCAAAAAAATTGCACCGATCTTTATTTTTTATCGAATAGAAACTTTTTTGTAAATTTTCACTAACGCAATTTATTATCAACTGATTACTGATTAATTTTTATGTCACGTCACGACAAAAGATTGTGAATCAAACACTTCAGAATTTCTGCTTTTGTCCATTGCACGAAACACTGTGCGACAGTGAAATTTATGAAATACTCGCTTTTACCGAAGTGTTTGTTATCATTGATACTTAATTTTGTTCTCTTTATAGTCTTTTCTACTCTTGAATATGGAAAATATAGAATAATGTGGACACCGGTGGGTCACATCGAAAAGTATGTCAAAGCAACACTCTTTAACCCTTTGATACGGAAGATTATAAAATATAAATATCGACTATAAAATGTAAATCGACGTATCCTATAACTGATAAAATCTCACGTTTCTTATTCATTTCAAACAAACAATCGTGCAATTTTTATCCTAAATTCTGTCGATAATTACCGAGTCGGTAGAACGAAACCTTAAAACGCTCCCGAGTGTAAAGGGTTAAGAGAGTTAAGCTCAGTTGGAAATTTAGAAAAATACGACTTTTGTCTTTTGACACTTTCTTTATTCCATCCAAATCTACGGAGCTATGGCGTGTTCAAAAGCAAGTTCGTCGAAGCATTTACCCGCGTCCACCTAATGTATCATCTGCTCCTAAGACACATAACTGTTCTGGTACGGAAGAAATGTATTTCACAGCTAGTGTTAATTTTGATGCCAACTTAGGCAAAAATCGCAGTTTAATTGCAGTTTACTTTTGCTATTTTTCTGTTTTCAATTTTGCCCTTTTCGTTTTCCAAATCGTCACGGACCGTCAAAAAGGCTCCACAGAAAAAAAAGGGACACTGAAGACGTCCCGAAAGTCGAGATCGAAGAAGAGACCACGAAGCTTTCAATCTCCCTTCACCTTTTCGCCGATTTTTCGGCTGGAATAAATGGAGCGAAAAACAACGACCACGAGGTCGAATGATAGCCTTGTAAAATTTCTCGTCTGCTTTCTCCTTATCCTTCTATTCGAGTATCCCTTGTGTCTCGCCATCGCACGCGAAGCATTTCACTTTCGCCAACGGTCGATTTTGAAATCGCCTCGGCCCAGAGGCATGCCTTTTCACTCCAATTCCATAATATCGTGCCCAGACGCTTCGACCCGTGGCATATTTGAAAAATTGGGAAAGACCCCCCTATGGTGAAAGTTTTTCCTCCTGGAAGCGGGTTACGGTTATGTCGATGTGCCAGAAGTTGAAAGTACACGGCGATTGTTGATGCGATTTGAAGATTAAGCGGAATTTTAAGCGCAAGCGTGTGTTAATTGGGCAATTAGAGCAGCTGAGATTCTTCGATAGGCCGCGTAGCTGATTTTCAGGGCGAATTGATGGAAAATTGTTGACTGTTGGACAATATTTTTATTGCAACCCTTGTGCGGGCTACCGGGTAACTATTTGTATATTATCTGTAACAATATTTTATTTTTTTTTATGGAAGTATCGTAAAGTCGCTCTGGATTGCCATTTTTTGGACATTTCTACGTCGGTACACGTTTCAAAGTGAAAATGAATGCAGAAAATTTTGAATACCGAAGCTAGAAATAAGCGTGAACATTTTGGCTGTCCACGTAATGGTTAAAAATTGTGTGTTCAGAGGTTCAAAGTAGTTTATATTAATGGTAAGAATAGTACCACTTTGGCGAAGCAGCGCTGGTGAATACTATAATTTGAATTTAGGCAAATGAGATTACTCCACTTCAGTTTTTTTTTTTTTTTTTCAATCGAACACGATTATTTTTCGTATTGAAGAAACGTGCAATTTTGAGTAAAACATTTGACCTTTATTAGGCAGAAATATAATAGTTGATCTAGAATATTACACAGTAATTGACCTTTATTATAATCAGAGTTTAATTTTAAAAATTTTAAATATAATAATTTAGGAGATATTTTGCTTGGTTTTTCAGAAAAAATTGCGAATCTTATCGTTAACTTCATTATTTTTTAATTATTGCTATTATTGTATTATCTCAATTGTTACCTTAAATTACTGTTATTCACAGTCACACGGTGCTTCAGATTGCTTTTTCAAAAAAAAATCAGGGTGAAACAATTGTATGCTTCAGGTGAAACAATTATCGATTTCAAGGTTGTAGATCAGATTATGCAACGACTCCAAGCAGGTACAATAGTTCTTAGTGTTTGTTACGGTGATTACCAATGATTCGGAGAAACTTACCTTCTTCTTTTGGTTGAGTCATTTGACGAAGGTTGTATTTTACGTTAGTGCAATGCAGGATCATTCGAGTCCCAGATTTCAGACCTAAAAAACGAGAAACCGAAGTATAAAAACACATTTGCATTAGAATACACGCGCAAATCGTAAAATATTAATTACGATTCAATTATATAGAAAATACTAAATATGAAGTTCATACTAGAATGAGCAAAGAGAAAAAAAGTGCTTCGTATGCACCAAGTAACCTTAATAATTTTTTATAAAGGAATCGTTGTTTTCGTTAACCCTTTCGTGCCTGCAATACTTTTTAAAGAATTTTTTGTTTATCTGTGGATCGTTACATTTAATGGATACTAACACCAGATCAATTTTTATCGTCTTCCAACTTTTTGTATTTTTTTGAAAAAAACTTACGTGCGTGCAATAGGGAAACGAGCTATGGAAGAAACAAATTTCTATAACAGTTGGATTACTCAAGTGGGACATACGGTATGCTGGTCGCGAAAGGTTTAAGAATTGAAATTCAGGCGATTGCATAATTTTACGAATAGCGAATAAATTTCTGTCGAAGACAATCATATGTTTCCAGCAATTATGACATATACGAGATTCTTTGTTTTCAAAGACTCGAAGATGTCGCAACGTTTAAATTCTACGCAGACCTTCACTCTAATTTTCTTCTTTTGGTAACTTTTTTCATTAGAAAAAAGTAAATTGAATTGATGCGTGGATTGTTCAATAGTATTTAAAAAAGAATTGGAACAAGACACCGTTTGCAGTATCTATGACGGATTTTTCAATAGCCTTAAATGTTTTTACATCGCACCGCGATTACCTACAGTCGTTTGTCGACCTAGCACTTTGCTACTTTGTTGTCAGGTGATAATTAGGGCAACAATAATTGCTCGATTTTTTTCGCATTTTTTGCTGTGAGTTTACGAGAGTTGCAAATCACATTGTGAAATGTAACGCATCATGCGAATATATCGTCTTATGAAATTTATTATTGTGAAAGTAGTAGGATCTGATTTTCTGTTACAGGTAAGACTGAATTTTCACAAGCAACAGGATAAGTTCGTCAACATTTCGGTGCACCGAACGAAGGTAATTTTGTCTTTTCATCGACACATTAAGAAAGGATTTTTTTTTTTAAATACTGTTTCATTTTGTGCATTTTATATTATTCTGAAGTAACAAAGTCTAATAAAACAATTTGGTCGACATAAAGAGTAATACTAATTAACGATTAATAAAATTGTGGTTTTATTTTCAATTTTAATTTTACAAAGACTTAGTTACAGTTAATATTCGGAGAGCATAGTGCACAAGAGATTATGAGTGTTAATAAATTCATTTTTTTTTTGTTTCTGGTATGTCAAAGTATTTGTTACAATTAATAGAATATAGTTTTAGTTTAGAATGTGGAATACTACAATTAATAGAATCTATTTTTTTCATGAAAGTGCAATAGCGTTATGAACTTAACAATTAACAGAATATACTTACTTTTACTTTATTTTATAGAAGTGCAATATATTTAGCTTTACGAACCTAACGATAGGCAACACGCGATACACCAACGGAGAAACTGAGCATTTGTTTGCCTTGAAATATGAAAGAAATACTGAAATGAACTTTAATTAATGCGTTTACATTCAAACTTTCTCTACCCAGTACGCCTACACCTCCAGTCAGTTTTTTCCTTTACCGACCATCGCGACGTACAAGCCGAACACGATTGTATTTTCCGGACAAATTGTACGCCGACCGTAATACTCATATCCTAATAAATTGAGGTGAAAACAGTGCAACGGCGTTCCTCACCCACCTCACTAGAATCACCCCGTATACATAACATTTCTTTCACTTGGATCAACTAAAAGAATCACCCAAACCACCTCTCCACTTTTTCCATCCTCCCCTACTTCAACGTCGCTATCTTCCTCTTGAATCATGCTCCACAGACTTTTTCCTCTCATCCGTACAACCATTCCTCTTTAATCATATCGCTAGCCTTCTCAGCGATCATGATAGTAGGCGCGTTCGTGTTCCCTCTGACGATCTTCGGCATTATCGAGGCGTCGACCACCCTCAAGTTACTAACCCCGTAGACTCTCAGCCTCGGATCCACCACCGCTTCCGGATCCCAATCTGGTCCCATTTTGCACGTGCCTACCGGATGATAGATAGTCGCGGTATACTCCATCATCACGCACTTCCAATAGTCCCTGGTGCTGTACTCGACGTGTCTACACGCGGGCAGAGGCATATCGATCAGACGTAAACCGTGCTTACGAAAGGATCTCGTGTTGAACAGTTCCAAAGCAGCCTCTATCCCCTCCACCATCGCCTCCGCGTCGGGATAACTGGTGAAATATTTCGGGTAAATCAAAGGTGGTCCCCACAGAGGATCTGTCTCGTTCAGTACTAAAAATCCTCGACTCCTAGGCGATAGTAAAATCGGTCTTATATTAATAGCGTCGTAGTAAGACAGAGGTTCGACAGCCGTCTCGCCAAACTCAGCAGGATCTACCAAAAAGTCCGTCTGACTGCTAGCATCGAACGCGAACTGTATATCCGGTAGGCCACGTTCGTGCTGAAAGATTGTCTGCAGAAATACACCGATAGACAGGCCACCAGTGGCCGACAGAGGACCTGTCTTAGTCTTCTCGTAGTAGAAAATGTCGTTCTTCTTCATGTTGTAGTCCTTCGTAGTGGAGGTTTCGTTCAACGCTATCACTATACCGTCCATGGTCACGTGGTCCTGCAGGTTCCTTCCAACAGGTAGATCGCTAATCACCTCGATCCCGTGTTTCTTCAGTTCGCCCTTTGGACCTACGCCAGAGAGCATGAGGATTTTAGGGGAGTTGATCGCGCCGGCGGATAGAATCACCTCCTTTCTAGCCAGAACTCTTTTCGTGAATCCTGTGGCGGTTGAAGTGTACTCCACTCCTGTTACACGTTTCTTCTTCGGGTCCATGATCAGTCTGGTGACGTGTGATTGGGTTTCGATCGTCAGATTCTTCCGTTTGCGTCTGACAGGCCTGAGGAACGCCGTGTTTGCGCTCTGGCGGGAGCCGCGAGCGGAGGTCATTTGCAGTACCATCACGCCCAGCTGGTTATTCGCGTTGGCATCCACCGATTCGTGGCCGAGTTCCTGCCACGCGTTCAAGAGGATCT